ATCATGTCATCGCTGCGGCACAAATTGTCTCGAGTCACTTATCACAATGACCTTTTGATAAAAGGGAGCTTGTGCAAGTGAAGAAATATTAAGAACAGAAAAATTCAAATATTAAGGATGTATTTGACATGGTTTCTATCAAAAGTTTGAAGTTAAAAATGTGTTTATATTTTGCATTTTATTTTTTATAAAAATAAATTGAAAACTATATATATATATATATATATATGTACGAAACAATTAAGTGAGTATTTTTAATCAACATCTTTTTGTAATTTATTCTCTGTATATATAAAATAGAAATTTTATTCACTTCAGCATATTTGCATGCCAAGAAGGGGTTTACACTTGGTTCACAATTTTCCATAACTCATTCATCCATTCATCCATACCTTTTGCTTGCTTCTCGTTTGTCTATCCTTCCTATTTCCTATCTTTCTATTTGTCCTACATTATTTAACTAACCTATAAAATCACATTCTTTACTATTTACTGTATATATATATATATATTTATTATTGCTTTTTATTCTTATAATATTTTAACTTGAAAAATGATAACAAATATCTCATCTTTTATGAAAAATTTTTTAAGCAATCGAAATTCGATGATTTATACAAAATTTAATTGCGAGATTTATTGATTATCCGTAAGGAAACAAATAAGTAAATATTTTTCGTATTTATTTATTTACAGATAAATAACTAACTAATCAGTGAAATGTAATGAAACTTTACATAAATCATTTTGAACACTTAAAGAATTTTTCCAAAAAGGTTGAGATTTCTTAAGTTGAAATGTTATAATAATAAAAAATAATAACAAATACACACAGTAAATAAATTAAAAAAAGATATCATCGAATAAAAATGCGATGTTACATATAAAACTGTTTCATAGTTTATTTATTTTTATATAGAAAGTGTAAATATTAACACATTTTTGACTCCAAACTTTTGGTAGGGACTGTATATATACAGACATATTCGAATATATTAGAAATAAAAATTTAGAAAATAAATACAGAAACGTAATGTACAGTGGATACAAATAAAATATAATATGATATAAATATGTATAATATCAATTTTTATTAAGTTTTTCAACATATTAACAGCTTTATAATATAATGCTTGATTGAGCACTAATAAATTATTAAAAGTGCTTGTCAATTTAATTCGTGATTACTAATTAAATAATTTAATTACGTTTATATTTCGAATAAACAATTCGGTGCGCAGTTCAAAAAGTCTACAAATATGATATATATGCAAGTACATATATAGTATATATAATAATTCAACATTGAATTATTTTAAGATTGAATTATTTAAAAGATTCAGCTTCGACCGTTATAGGCCTTTAATTTCTAGTATTGATTGTGTTCTCACATATGCAGTCTAAAATAAAGTTTCTTAATATAAATATGTCTTATATCTGATTTGTATCCATTGTGCGTTACCTTTCTATTCACACAAATTTTTCTCCTAATTCTTTATTTCTATAATAAATAAATAAAAAATTTTAAAACATAAAATCTAATAAATAAATTTATAAAAAAATTATAAATAAAGATTAAACGTAACACAATGGATACCGATGAGATATAAAACATAAATATCCTAATTTTTTATTTCTAATGTTTGATATTTCTACTTGTTCCTAATATTTCTTTCATTATATACAAACTCCAAGTAAGAAGGTGTTTTGATAGATATGTAGATGTATTGAGTTTCATTAAGGACTTTGAATAGCTAATTAATGTACACATGACAGGAAACACACGAAACATTCGGTATTTACGTTAAGTCAGAGTCAGATTAAGCAAATAAGCGCAAACATGAAATCACGATGTCGTTCATGTTCACTGAAGCACGTTACTCCATTCATGTTTATCGCGTTCGTTTGCTTGGTCTAATAAAGATTCTTTACATAACGTTCAAACGTTTTTTTTTTTAAATTCAATCAAGGATTATTTAATAAATTGTCAAATTAATTTCAAAAAGTTTTCAGGAGAATAAAATTACAGTCGACAAAATAAACAACATTTTTTTTCGAGACATATTTTACGAGCAAATTCAAATCTGTTCTACGTTAAAGTATGAAACGAAATCGTAATTGCATCGGTGGAAGCAAAGTTCTCTGCAGCTACGAGTAAATGCATGATAATTTTTTTTCTATTTGTACAATCCGTATATTTATTTTTATTTTCAAGAGTTCCGTAATTTATATTAATGTTTCAAAGTTTGATGCAGTCACAAATATATAATTTAAATTACAAAACTTTTCCGTGCTGGATACATATTGCCTGAAGTTCAAAAGTGCATTTACTGCTAGTGATATAATTATTGCAATTTCCGAGCGACGTAACGCTCCTAGAAAGTTGCGAGCGGAGGATTGCGCAACGGCTGCTAAAGAATACATTGAATTTAAATAATCTAAACGTCCCACATAGTGTATTCCTTTGATTCAGTTGAATTTTCTACTCCTCGAATTATCGTCGGCAGCATATGTGGAGTTAAAAGCAGTGAAAGAGAGTTCCTTTCTCCGCAAGCATTCCTTTCTACGTCGCATAAAAACAACGTCGAGAAAGAGCAGAGAGCATTATAGTGATGCCGCGAGTCACACGAAAGAAAGCAACTCTCAAAGGATGTATCCGGCGCTACAAGTCACCCTCTCAAAGGATGTATCCGGAATATACCGACCGCAAGGGAGACACTGGACTGGTAACTCGATAAATAAAGAAGCAAAAATGGATAAATCGGGAACGAGTCGGCCAAACGGCTCCTGTTTCCGTTATCTAAAAGAGAGAGAGAGAGAGAGAGAGAGAGAGAGAGAGAGAGAGAGAGAGAGAAAACTCGGTACTCTTTGTCCTTGCTTTTCAGTCTGCTCTAACGGGTTGTTTTTTGTTTCCCAACGGGTGTCCCGAAGTTTCGTGGTGGAAAAAGGAGGATAGGAAAGCGGTTAGTAATGACGAGGGGCACAATAGCGGATAGTTAACGCATACAGCTGCGTCGGTTGGGTGCGGGGTTGTTCCGTTGCTCATTGGTGACTATAACGACGTGAGCGCGTTGTCCGAGTGATACAGAATGGCAAGCGACGACATTGGGCGCTTCGTGAGCGAAGCGTTGAATTGTAGGGAAGAAAAGAGACGAGGGCGCGGGATCAGTTAGTGGCCTTCATTTGGGTGCAAATGGAGTTTTTCCTAAATGGACGTTTCGAAAGTTTGCCGTTGTCAGGCATTGTTTGGTCGGCGGCAAGAAGGACGAGAGCAGTAGGAGCGAGTGCAATGCGGAATCAGTCTGCCAAGGCTTTGATTAGCTGGCGTCACGAGGTCAAAGGCTTCCTCGATTGTTCGCTTCCTCGTATTTATAGTTGGTTCGTTCATTTTCCTCGCGGCAATTGTCGCTCTGCTGTTCTCCGTCTTTCCGTATTCTTCGTATCATTATCTTCTTTTTCCTTTTCTTTCTTTCTTCGGGAGAAACTGGGATTGCTTCTCAGTGGAGAAAATATGATAAGAGAGCACTTTGTCTTACTATTATTATTTCATATGATTAAAAAATTTATTGGTTAAATGCATTTTTAAAAGTCGTTTATTTTGCCATTCTACATTTCCCTCTTTTTCAATTTCAAATTCAAATTTTTCCACCTTATTTTTCCTTGTTTGCATCGAAACGGTTCGTTGTTTGTTCGGTTCCATCGTATAGTTGATTATAGATAGTCCACGCCGCGGTTTGTTTGCTAAAGCTCTTATCTCTGTAACACCATACTTGATACAATTAATCGTATACTTATTATCTATATTATATGTTAGCTATAACTTGAATGAAAATTGTCGAGTAAAGATGTGTTATGAGAAGACGTTTTACGAGGAAGATAATTCCTGTTTAATAAGCTCACGACATTATTCACGATTATCACGAAACTAGTATTTGCTCTCCCTTTTATTTGCTTGCGATTCGAAATAGATGTTTCGTGTCGAATGCGAAAATCCCTGAACGAAGTAAATTTCCAAAGCTCAATCGGACGTATATATCGCTACGTGATCGAAACACGAGCGACGGACACTAAAAGGAAAAGCAACGATTTCCCGTTGCTTTACGACAGTAATTAAGCGCGACTTCGCTTCAGAAACCGCAACTAATGCTTGCCTCCATTCGATCTCGAAGCTTCATTTGCCCGCGCATCCAATGACGCCATGCCACTTTGATCTCGAGTTGAGCACTTACGAAAGTGAGATCGCTCAATCTATGAGCGCGTTAGCATTTATTTACTATCGAATCAGCAATTCGCTGGAACGCGTTCCCTGAATAAGTTGAAAAGCGCTATTAAATAGCAGCTTTACTAGATTCGATTTAAAAAGGTACGCTTTCTAATTCTCCTATTTGTTTACGATGTCATTTTTAAATCCAGTCGTTTCTCTACTAAAGTGTGCATATGAAATTTAATGAAAAGAACGATTTTGCTGAAGTATCTAAAAATTTAGCTGGATACAGATCTGAAAATAATTTTCTTGAACCACCAAAATAATTACGTAGAAACCTTAAGCATAATAAATACACTGAGAGAAAAATTGTAGAAGTATTGTGAAGTAGAAATATTACGTTTTCTTTGATATTTATTAGTTAATTTAATTACGACAATAAAACACACATTTCTGTGAAATATATTTTGTTAATTGTAAAAAAATAAAATACATTATTTGCTAGGAATAAAACTTTAATTCGCCGTATTTAAGTAAAGATTTATTTCAGTGAAGTATATGTTTTACAAATAAATCTTTAAGTATCTTAAGTATCTTTTTCTTAGTGCAGTGTTGCAAAAATGTTGACATTTTAGCAACCAGTTTAAGCGCTTCATATAATTATTTTGATCCAACAAAATTACTTTCAGATCTGCATCTAGCTAAATTTTTATTCTACATCAGCAAAAGTGTCCTTTTCGTGTGAAATTTAATAAATTTCTGATGTAATAAATAGATTTAATAAATTTCTGTGTAGTGCCGAAGGTGGAAATTGTGGATGAGCATGGTGCTACGGCTGGTGACAAGTTCTACAAAGCAGGTAGTACAATAGAGCTGAAGTGTGTAGTCAGCAATATACCGCAACCCACTGGCTATGTCACGTGGCGACACGGATCTCGTACGTTAAATTACGACACGACTCGTGGTGGCATCAGGTAAGCAATAGACGACATAATATTTGCGTACTGTGAGATCTTAAATGTGATGCAATGTAATTTCGATGATGCACTATTAAATACTAATTTGTAATTATCGGTTTTGATCTGTATTCGTCGTTACGTTATGTATATTATCTGTTTGATGTGTAGCACGGTGCTTAAATATAGCTAGTTAACATTCTGGTAATTTAGTCGATGAGAACTCGATAGTTTATGCAAACTGCATAGGCATTCTAATTGCCTCGATAAAGAACGGTACGTCCGGTGAATTTTGAAAGGCTTCTATTAAAGTTCTCGAGCGACGGTCAACAATTGCGGCGGCTTCTGGGCGTATGTGACCTAATTGGTTATAGATATGACAGCATTCATGAATTTCAAACAGCGCTTTAGACAGTATTTGATGTTGTCGGTTTCGTAGAACGTTTTTTTTTTCAATCAGCGGTTCATCGATAAAACAATTTTAAAAAATTTTCTCAAACGTAGCGTAATATAGTCCCTTTGTCTCGCTATTTGCTGTATTTGCTGTATTTTTTCTATGATTAGTTAGTTTACGTAACACACTTTACACGATAATAACTTGATAATAATGCGATCTATGAGAAATTAGCAATATCGTGGTCGATATTAAGTCTGAAAGAAAAGATGCGAGATACCAGGTGAACTGTTGACAATTTAATCATCCTCGAAAACACTCGATTATAGTGAGCCGATACACATAATGAACGAGCTCATTGCTTGCGCTAAATGCAAGCAGCGGGTTTTGAATAAAACATACAAAACTTTAATTACAAATCAGGTCACAAGTGCGATTAACAGAAATTAGATCGATTAATTGAAATTAGCTGCGGAATTTTATTTTAGAACAATTAAAAAAAACACCTTGTATATAATATTATTTTATAATAAATATAATTAGTAAAATATATTTGATTAAGTGCTTTAGTAACAAATTTATTTTTTCAAGTTATTAATTAAAATTTTAAAATGTTTGACCAACGTTATCTCGATACTTTTTTTTTTAAAACAATTTTATAAATGAAATAACAATTTAATTTACAGCAAAAATCAGAATTAAAATTGATATTTACGCATTAGGTCTGCATTTAAAAAAATATTACATTTTACCACCTTTAATAGCACACTGTCTTTTTTATAGAATTTTATATATTTTGAATTTGTGAAAGTATTAGACAATAATTGAAACAGCGCTTTTTAAAAATTTTGATGGCATTTAAGATAGCATTTATAAATCAAAATTATATCTATAAACGTAACGTAAGCGGATTGCAAGCGGATTGCAAGCGGATTGCTTTCGTTACTTTTAAGTATGTTTTGGTTGTATAAAATTTGCTAAAAGTATTATAGCATAAAGCCCATGTCACGTAAGGTAGTAAGACATAAGCAGTAAGCGAATCAGGCAATCACAATAGAGAACATAAGGTTATTGTCTTATCAATTCCCTTACCTCACAAACACAATAGATAAGCCTTTAACCTTAGGAATTGACTAATCATAGTCGATTATTCTTTTCATATTCGACTGTGATTGATCAATTTCTTAAGGTTTACTACTCTATTGTGTTCGCGGAATTACCGCTTATGTTTTACTGCCTTACATTTTTGAATTTCTGGCTTTATAAAAAAAAATGTGTTTAAAAAGTCAATATCAGCTAAAGTCATCGACGCACATTGCATAATTGCTTGCATTTTATAATAATAAATTACAGAATTACATCACACTAAACGCAGGATTTCTAGTAATTTACTAAAATATAAGAAAATATATATCATATGCCGCTGGCTTAATATCAGCTAACAAACTTTGGCATAAATATGTTCTGCAAAAAGTAAAACAAATGATTTGGCTTATAATGGTTTTATGCAGCGAAGTGACCATATTTTACTGTAATTTTAGATAAATAACTTTTAAACGAGTAAGTAGCTCCAAATGAACTTTTACATGAATATTTATTCGCATAGAATTTTATTAATACATATAATCAATTTAATTTAATTTATAATGCTACGATCAAATTGTAATTATCAAATTGTCTTATCAAATTGTAATTATATACTACAAAACGTGATATTACATAAGAATCAAGGACAAAAAATTAATTAAATCAATTTTAAATAGCTTTAAATAAGAATTGTGTGTAAATTTTATATAGATATATAGAATAATAAAACAATGTATGAAATTTTTATATTTTTTATTTTATGACACATAATTCTTAATAACATATTTGATTTTTTCATAAAATTTTATAGTTCCAAAAAATTTACGAAAGTATTAAACGAGGATTCAAATATTTTCTAAAAATTTTGCATAAGTTAGCATTTATAAGTAAAATTACATTCTTTCATTCAACGTTACATTTTTTAAATCAGACGTTTGATAGATCATGTAAGATGTAACAATTAATTATTTGTTTTCCGGGCAAATACATGCGAACGACATAGCATAATACGGGATCTAGGACAGCGTGTAGAATGCATGCGCAATTTATTGAGTGCATTCTATTACCCTTTGATTACCCCTGGTAGACGGTTTTGCGAGATCGTTAAACCGAACGTGTCAAATGCAGCGCTGCAAATAAACGACGTTCGATCACATCGTCTATCGTGATTACTGGCTCGCTGGATCCTATAATGGCATGCAGGCTTTCCTCATTTGTGAACCATTATGAAAAGACTGTATCATCGTATCTTGCAAGTTACGATCGCTATACCCTGAAAACATTTTCGCAAGTGTTCCGTAGATTATATAGGAAAGGAGAGTATATAGGGAAAAATAATCAAACATGTTATTTATAACTTTCGCGAAATAACCGTAATTGTAAGCTAAATTTATTACTTCACCCTTCACTGAAACAAAAGAAAGTTTGAGAATAGCTATTAAATGTACCTCTGGTGAAAATTTTTTTTCAGAATTTTTTGTACAAATTGGACACTTTTCAGAAATACCGAGAAAATCTATATTCTTTTTCATTGTTAAAATTTTTTGTGTATATGAATTCTGAAATGTTCTAAAATTTTTAAGATTATGTTCTGTAATTGCTGAAAAAACACTTTAAACTTTTGTAGATTTTATAAATTTATTTATAGAAATCATAGAAAATTCTAATATAAGGCTACGAGTCACAAACCGGATGGTAATTGTTAATAATTAAAATTCATCAAAATCTAATACATGTAATCTACAAACATTTCGACCCTTATCGGGTCATCTTTAGTGACGTACAATATAAATGCGTAATTAACTATTTTAAAACATCTTCTATCTTCACCGTATCCATATTATGTCAATTCTTCCAATAATTAAAGCTGATAAATCATAACAATTAAAAAGTGCCTCATTGCAACTGTACACATCATTAGGTTGCCGTTTTGACTTACAAAGGTCGATAGACATTAGTAATTATTTCAAGATAGAAATTATTATATAATTAAAAAAATTAGTCTAACAAATTAATTTACAGTTGCATCTTAAGTCATATCTGAAAACCAGAAGTCCCAATTACAACAAGTTCACAATACATATCAAAAATTGGAAAAATTGTTCATCGCCACCAAAAGGAGATTATTTAAAAATTTTTTTAACAATAATAAGAATACAAGACAAATACATGTATAAGTTAAGCAAATGAAAAAGAAGAGGAAAGAATATGAAGTGATGGAGAGAAAGGAAGCGTTAGGATTAGGAAGGGGATAATAGTTGTAAAATTGGGAGATCAGTCAGAAAGAAATTAGATATCGCTTTGCTTATTTAAACCGTGCTGTTGTTTTTCATATACATCATCTCTGAAATCAATCTTTTGTTATATGACGGTTTTACTCTTTTAACATCGTTCCATTTAAAATTGTGATCATGGCTCAAGCGGTGTGTGATTCGAAATTAGAAGAAGAGGAGCCCGTTCTTTTGTTAATGTTATTTGCATGTTCATTAATTCTAATTTTTAAATGTCGTTTAGTCTATCCCACGTATGTCACAGTCATGGCAAGAAATCTTGTAAACAACTTCTTGGTGAGACATGTAATCCAAAATCTTTACTTCGAGTGATATGTTTCTGTTGGAAATCGTAAAAGCTATTTTTTATTAATACTAGCAGCGATCGGGATGAAAGATTCAGAGATGATCTTAACATATGGCACAGTAAAATATCGATCATTGATTCTGCTTCAATTTATTTGTTTAGTAAGGTTGACATTTTTATTGCAATGAAATTTAATTCTTGTCTGTATACTAAAAAAAATAAAATAAAGAGGATAGTTATTTAGTAAAATCTGAATAATTTCTATAAAATTTTGTTGGTGAAAAATAACATGAGACACAAAAGTAAAATTCGATTCAACCATACCATAAATAACGCTTTTCTTGCACAATGGATGGTGAGAATTAAAATTAAGAAATCTATCTAAACAAGTTGATTTTTTGTATCGATCGAATATAATCGCATTGTTTTTAATAATGAAGAAATATAATCATAGAACAAGATATCTTGGAATATTTCACATATATGAAGAAATCTAGAAAAGATGTAAATTTTTTCGCCACTTTTAAAAAGTGTATAAAATTTGTATAAAAAATTTTTTTTTATGTGAACAATTTTTTAAATGTTATAAAATTATTCAGAATTTTGAAAAATTCTGAGAAATATTTTCATCATTTTGGTAATATATTTAATTAATGTTTTCAAACAAAATAATAATAAAAGTATTAATTAGGAAAGTTAGATAACAATTAGAATAAACGAAAATAATAATTAGAAAGATAAAATCATATAGAAAAGTAAAATTAGCATTTAATTAATTATAATTATACATATTAATCGAATTTTAATTGAATGTATTACATCAAAAAATTTTTTTTTCTCAACTTGATTATTATTAAACTTTTTTCAGTGCTCTAATGAAAAATTCTGATTTCCAGGAATATATGTTAGTTCCTTATTACATTAGTTTCTTATCTCATCTAACTTTATAGGCTTGTGCATT